CCTTAAAAAGTTTGTACTGATGTTAAGATGAGTGGTACAGTTTACAGAAAACTTTTGTAAAGTTATTTGCTATATTTTAAAGTTACTGACATAAAAAACATCTATATGTATATTTCTTTACATTTATAATGAACCCTCGTGCGGTCCCAACATTCTGTTTACTCCCCTTGTCCTGTGGGTCAAAAATGACCCGCTCTACCAAAACCCCAAAATAAAGCAGCTTAATTGAATTTTAAATCCCAAATCTATTTTGCATGATGAAACAACTTGTTGTTAATCAATTCAGCTCAATTTTATTATTTTRTAATCATGTATTTTATGTTAAACAATACAAAAAGACAATCACTCTCTCACTCTGGCTGCCTGTTTGTCTGTCACATAACTTTGCTGGTCTGGACACACGGCTGTCAAATCTCAACATTCTTGAGAAAGTGTGAAAGATTTTCAGTGGCACTGTGGCAAGAAAAATTCCCTTTCTACTATTTGCATCCCAGAGACTACATGTAGCCCTGCCACGGGACCTATATATACCTGCTAATCCCTATGTAGCCACTCATTCAATCTCATCCATATTTTTCCAGTTTTATCCATATTTCCGGAAACCCTCCAAATTCATATTCTCCAGGATTTTTTTCAAAGGCTGATGATCAGGAGAAAGGGGATGAAATGTCCTGGACATGGGCAGCTGAATACCTTGTTGGCCCTGACATCATCTTTATGATGGTTGATGCTGCTGTTCTTCCCTGGTTGCAGTCTGAATTTGATGAGGACCATGCAATTCTGTGGTTCTTTTACGAAAATGTGTCTCTGTCAGCTTGAACAATGTCCTCTTCATCATCTGAAGATGCATCATCCTCTGGGTTGCATTCCTCCCCATCTTCTTCTTCAGATACATTTTCATTCTCTTGTTCCTCCTGAGCTCCTGAAAATATCTCATCCAGGTCCTGTTCGGCAGTGAAACATCTACTCATGGCTTCAGCAAGGAGCCAACTAGGAGTACTTTGATTCAGGGGACCATAATGTATGTACACTACACTGTAAAATGTTTACAAAATCACAAGACAGAATCTTGAGAACAACTTTGACATATTTCTTTAACATAAGAAAAAATGCTGTAGTGTTTTTTTTTTCAAATACCTGTTTAAATTAGAAAATTTGTACAGGTCAAAAACCAAAAGCTTATATGAAATGAAACCCTTCTTATAGTAGCCAAAAACTGAACATCTGAAAAATATAACAAAAATCTTAAAGGGGCAATATTATGTGCAGAGTTGCACATAAGCGGTGCGCAGGTGCGCATGCGCGCATGCGCAGTCAAAAAAGAAAAAGTGCACCAGATGGTACGTCATGAAGCTCACTTGTGTACCTAAGATTGTACCTGATTGTCTGTCAAAACAACAGCTAGCAGGGTTATAGAGTGTGACCTGTTTGGTCGCAACCTGATTACTTAAAAAAAAAGTTTTTTAAATAATAATAATCCAGCCGCACAGGTTCATTGTCTGGTGCTCATCAAGCCTCTTAGGGCAGCGGGACCCTGTTATAAGGATTAAATGGACACTGCCTTCAACAAATCAGATGAAGTCCAGAGCCATTTTATCCAATCAGAGCAGAGCAGGGGGAGACTTTCAGTGAGAGCATGTATGGTTGAAGCTACTGTAGCCGGCTGCAGTGGTCAGTCCTGACATCCCCTCCTGCAGTTTGCTCCTGAACTACCAGACTTTGGTCTATAAAACCTAACTTTATATTAAATATATGTTCAGAATGTTGTTATTGAACAGATCTGTCCAACTCTGTGAGTCACTAAACTCTCCTTCTGATGAGAGACTGCTGTGACGGGAGCACGTCACTGCACGCGCAGGCTGAGTTTTTCTGCGATACCGCAGGGTCCCACTGTTTGAGTTCTTGTAATTAAACCACATTAACTCTAACAGAACATTTGTTTGCCCCATATTAAAGCAAAGATGATTCTCTGTTTAACTTTACCCCATCAAATAAATTATATCTATTAAAAAATAAATAAAAACAATTTGCCATGTTCTCTAGGTAAATGAGTTTTAAATGTTATTTTAATTTGTCATAAAGATCCACAAATTTCGTTCACAATTTTATCAAAAAACTAGGCTTTTGATGCAAACTTGTTTATACATTATTTAGGACAATACTGTGACACAGCTTTTATGGGATAAATTTAATGTATTAAATCAGAGATTCTTAACCTATGGGCCGCGGCCCAATTGTGGGCTGTGATCGCCACCTTGAGGGCCTCAAAAGAACAACAGTTTTTAACTTTGGGCCGCAGAGGGCAGTGGGACCGCATTGATTTTGAATAAGGTGCAATACACTTTCTTCCCTCTAGTAGCAGAAGTGTGCCACTCAGATGTTTAACAACCTTTTTAATATGTATAAGAAGAAACTTAGATACCTGCCGAAAATGGAAACTTATTTTAAATGAAGAATAGAAGGCAAAAATGATGGTAACCCATCAAAAAACGCCAAAGTTTGTCACTAAAATGAAGTGCAGCTTCTGTTTGTCTCATGCAGTATTTTAAAAGTTCAAAACATTATCAAATACAGTTGCAGATACAACTATATTTTAATTTGTGTGAAGAATCAGTTCTACCCATGTTCCTGTGTGGTAATTGATGTCTGACCATGATTACACACACCTGTTGGGGATTTGTCTGATGATCAACTGCTGCTTTATAAGCCTCCTCCAGTTGATCCACGCTGATGCATRTAACCTTTATGGTAATGTCTAGCTCCTAGTTTCTATGTTAAAGAATATTTTTGTACTTACCTCATTCATCATTTGTTCAAGGTGGACTAATTACCAAGATCACAGAAGCCACACCTCATGCTAAGAAGTCCTCACTCCAAGTTGGGTCAGAAAACAAAGAACCTCACCACGGAACACTCACAGCCACTCTGCCTGAAGAACTGCCACCTGCCTTTGAAAACCTCCTCCTCAGGAACTCTTCACCTCTGGAAAATCTGTAAGAAAGAATCACATATTAACAAGAAAACATCTACAACAAATTACTCTTCTAAGAACCAATACTCACCTTCTACGTTCTCCTCCTTTTCAGCTGATGTCCAAAACCAAACTCCACCTGTAAATAAAACTGCACTTACCTTTTTAATTGTTGTCTTGGTCTGGTCATTCAGCTCTGCTGCTTTGTTGAACAATATGTCATCCTTGTCAAAGTGGAAGAAATTAATCATCAAATACATATTTTGGCAGGGGGGGGTGCTCATCTTCACCTATTTACATCAACTGAATTATGTTCATCCAACTATCCTCTGAGATTATTTAAATATTATTACACAAAATGATACAACATAATTAATAAAACTGTTCAATAAACATTAAAAACCAAATCAAGCCGCAGCCTGTTGTTGATACAACAGTTATTAAAAACAAGAGTTTCACTTTATCGAGGCTGAAAACAGAACCTGTCAGACTCTTAAAGTTGAATCAACTTGTAACGTTTGGGTTGTATTGGGAAAGGAGAAGAGGCGGCAGAAAATTCACAACCACACCGATACTGGGAATTCCACAGTGT